CAGCATAATAAGCCACTATACGATTGGCCCCTCGATGGCGGTCGGGCGTCAACGATGATGGTCATAAAGGTGGGAGGATGAGATCAGATCGGGACTCATTCTCCCGATCAGGGTGAATTTCATTCGAAATGGGCGTTGCCCCGAAAGTGCTTCCGCAGGAGAGGGGGGGCCGCGTAGCGAAATGCAAGCAACGCATGGCCAGGGTCGGGCGGGAGTGGTCTCACCTCGAGTTCGCCTCGACTCAGCTGGCAGCGACAGGGCGGGGGCAATGGGGCGGGGTCTGGATTTTCGCCTTGTCTTTTGCTTGCCTGACGTGCTCGTGCTTGTATTCGCCGCAATGCAGTCAAGGCATATGCACAAGAATCACTTGCAACGCCGATACCGACCGACGTGACAGTCTCGTCGACGCCTGAGCGAGCGAGTGTACGTCCAAGGTTGAATCGGGATTGGCGTAGGTTTGGAATGAAGGGCCTTGTGACTTCGAAGGTCGGTTTTTGCAGAGGCGGGCTAGAGGGCAACCAAGGAGGGGAGTCTCAGTTGTCAGCGCGTCTCGGCTGAGCGAGGGCGGATGGGCGGGAAACGGGAGAAAAAGGGTCGGAGTGTTAGGTGCGCCCAGTTCCTTGCAGCTCGCAGGCGCCCCTCTGGCATCAGCCAGCAATGAGGGCAGCAGGCAGCAGGCAGCAGCCAGCGACTGAGCTTGAGCCACGCAATTTCCTCTCGCCTCTGCCGGACCCGTTTGGCGGCGGGCGGAGAGGAGCGCGAACGCGTAGCTGCAGACAGGCTCTCTCTCCTCTCGGCCAAGGCTGCTGTGCTCTGCTGTGCTCTGCTGAGGTCGGTCACGATTGCGCCCCCCCAGGCTCAGCTGGCCGCTTTGACTCGCATCGTCGGGGCGCTCAGTCTGCAAATCGCATCCAGCCCCTCACCATCCCCCTCTCTCCCTTTCGACACTCACCTCGACCTTAACCTCAGCATCAGCACGCTTCATCCATCCCATCTTCATTACACACGATTCCCTCGAGTGGCTGATCTCGTGCGCGAGCCAGTACCGCCACCACCTTTGTCGTCTTCTTCTGCATCTGCATTCTCGCGCTTCTGCATTCAGCATCCCTGTCGATCCGGCTCAGCTTCTCGCGGCAAAAGCATACCCTTTCTCTCATCTACGCTCGACAAGCTGCACATCCCTCGGGCTCGCTCACCATTTGTCTCCACCACCGCTGTCGCAAACATCAGCTGCTACCTATCCTGCATCCTTGCCCGCTCGCAACTATTTCTTCAGCTTCAGCCACAACTGCAAGCTCTCGTGACAACTCACAAGTCTACCTGCCAGCGCCGTTCGCTCTGGGCCCTGGGATTGACATCGTGCATCGCCCTGCTCACTCATCGCCCAGACGCGAGCTCCGAGTCCTAGCTTGCTTCACTTAGGAGGAGCACAAGCACGCATCTAGCGGCTAAACTGCGACGGCTGCCAGCATTCTGACAGACACACCGATTGTCTCGAAGCATCTAGGGCATCGACCGCTCCAACTCGATCCGATCCAATCCCTCAATGCATTGACGCCCTCCAGCCTTCGGCCGTACATCTCACCACTCTCGGTGATCGCGTCAATCATCCAGCCCTCCATCAAAGCGTTCGCAAAGGCTTTGTCGTCCTTCATCTTGACTCCTGCTCTACGCCCTCCGCACGCCGCAAATCGCGTGCGTGGCATCCTCCAACAATCATGAGGGAGTCCAACTTTTGCAACCCCGCCCAGAACAAGGCGAGCGTCTGCATCTCCTCCGCCGTCTACGACCGCAGAGCCATCGACTGCACCGCCACCCTGCCGCTCATCAACTCGCTCAACCACCTCGCCTACCTCACCTCCACCTCGCCCCGCATCCGCGAGATGGTCACCCTCGATGGCGGCCTCGAGCGTCTCATTCGCATCCTTCGCACCGTCCCCAAGACACCCTCCCCTCAGGCCCGCGCCTTCTCCATCAAGGAGATGCAGGCCGTCTGGAAGTGGAGCCTCGCTTTCCAGTGCGTCGTCAACATTGGCGTCCGCGGCAGCGAGAGCGTCAGGACACGCGTCGTCGAGGCCGGCATGATCCCCGTCACCATTCGCGTGCTCGAATCCTACCTCCGAAACATGGAGAGGCTCAAGGACGAGAAGCGCAAAGACTCCCTTCTCCACCATCACCGCCACGAGGCCCGTCGCGACGATCGCGCCACACGCGAGCGCGTCCAGTCCGCGTCCGCGTCCAACGCTCCTCTCTCTGCTTCCGCCGACTCGTCTCGCTCACGGCGCCTCCATCCAGCTCCTGATGCACTCGCTCCCACCTCCAACGCCGCAGCACAGCGCAACGGGACCGCTTCCTCCGCATCCCATGATTCCCCAACTTTGCAACGCACCCACGCAGACGCGCAGCCCGTTTCCAACGCAATCGCCCCTACCAACCTTCCCAACCACCTGCTCACAGAGACTCGTCCAACCACGCCGCTCGAAGATCCCGTGGCCGCACGCCGCTCCTCCGTCTTTGCCACCATGGACGCACAGAGCAGTGCAGACGACTTCATGCCCTCCCAGCCACCTGCCATGCCCGTCGTCGACCCTCACGAGCCGCACGCCGCCATGCCTCTCATCGAGAGCATCGATCCGATCTCGCTCTCGTCATCCGGCTCACCACCCAACGTCGGTCCCGACGGCACGCCCCGCGCGCTCTCATCTGCACGAGCCGACGACCGCAACCTCGAAGGTATGAGCTCCTCCGAGGACCTCCGCAGCCATGCGGCCGAGGCCAGCGGCAGCGGCTCCGACGGCGCAGAAGACGCAGAGATGTTTGCCGACGATGCCGACGACAGTGAGATCGACGTCGCCCAGTTCCAGACTGTCCGCTCGACCGACTCGGACAACGCGCCATCGAGCGCGCCCAGCAACATCGAAGTCGACGAGGATCTCGAGGAACGTCGCACGCCGCGTCCGGCCCGCAGAGCGCTCGCCCCCTTATCCGGCAACGACTCGCCACCTCTTCCAGCTCAAAGCTACGTGACTCCGAATCGTCCCACGAGCGCCGTCGCACCGCCCCTCTTTGAGAGGCAAGACACCGTTCGGCCCTCGCGCGACTTTTCCACCACCGCAGGCTCCCGCGAGGCATCATCCACCAACCTCGCTTCCACCGCACTCGCCGCCCAAGTGGGCTCACAGGATGCTTCGACCCGCAGCAGCTCGCTGTTTGATCGACAGCAGCAGCCAGCACACCAGCACCAGCACCAGCACCACCACAACCACGAGCGCTTGCATCACCAACAGCAGGGCTCAGCGTCGCAGGATCAGCGTCACCACCATCATCATCACCACCATCACCACCACCACCATCACAGCCAACCTCACGACCACACTCACCAGTCCCGCGCCTCTGCGACGACGAGCCATTACGACGACGTTCAGATGGGCCGCCAAAGGTCCGCGCACCCCGAGGCACAGCAGCAGACCACACCGCGCGAGGAAGCGCGGACCACGGCCGTGCGGCCCGCTCAGCCTGCCTTCGATGCTGGCGCCGCCCACCCGGCGGTGGTCCAGCTGAGCAATCTGGCAGATACCAATGCGCGTGCCGGCATCGACGTAGTCTACCGCGAGGAAGAGGTCCTGCTGAGTCTTCAGCTCCTCGCGTATCTGTCCAAGTACCCGCACGTCCGCATGCTCTTCCACTCGACCGACTTCAGCGGTCCCTCGCTCATGGGCCCACTTGATTCGCTCAACGAGGAGATCGAACAGGCCACCAAGCGCAACAAGAGCTGGGACCCCGCCGAGCCTCCGCGCCGCAACGTCTTCGCGATCGCCGAAAAGTTCACGCTGCGATCTCGCAACGCCACCCACCCTGCTCCCCGCCTCTCGATGGAGATCCAGTACTGGGCTGGCGTCATCATGCGCAACGCCTGCCGCAAGGACGAGTCGCGCGGCGGCATCCGCCAGTGCGCCAACATGCTCTGCGGCAAGTGGGAGGAGTATCCGCGCGAGTTTGCCAAGTGCCGTCGATGCCGAAAGGCAAAATACTGCAGCAAGCAGTGCCAGAGCAAAGGTTGGCAGATGGGCCATCGATACTGGTGCAGTGCCAAGTCGGACGAGGCCGAGGCCAAGGACAAGGAGCGCGAGAAGACGACCGAAGCGCAGCGTGACGGACGCCAGGAGGATGGCGGTGCGGCTCCTCGCATTGTGCCCATGGCCGCGCACGCCGGTGAAGCTGCTGCGTTCGGCCATGGACTGCCTGATGAGCCTGTCGATGCGATGCGCGAT